ATAAACCAAACTACCGTTGGATACCTGGCCATGTTCACTGCAGTACGTGTGATTCACTGGGAGAAGACGGCAAGGATGAAAGGCAAAGTGAGTTCAGCCCATTTAAGGCTACAGGTAACGGCACCCAGGCTCTGCACTCCTTATTTGGCATTGAAAAAAGAAGTATTTATACGTCCTCGGCGCCTGGATGTCATTTTCAATGACGTGTGTATACGTCTTTAGCGCTGAATGCGTTTTAAATTGGGGATTTGGAGACTGCTGAATAGTACTATTACAGTCAGACCTCGCTTAACCGCACACACCTGTTTTCCAAAAAAACATCCGGATAGGCGAGGTAACCGGATAACTGAACACACATACTGTATATGCATGTGGCATGTCAAAAGCAATGACATCGTACATGCATGTAGACAGGTCCTATGCAGTACAACTAGCGTGCCCAGTATGTAAAACAAGCGAGAAAAATGACAAGTGCATGCAACTGAGTGCTGTCCGCATACACCCAGCAGGCCAAGGACCTCATTTGCTTGTACAACTCCTTGATACTAGCTTCTGCAAGCGCTAGCCAGCCACATGCAACCGGATACGACGAAGCTTTTTGTACACATTTTAACCAGTTTGTACACAAAATCATGCACCGGTACGCGGTATGCGGATAGCGAGGTCCGGTTATGTTGTATGCATAACATATGCTGCACATCGGTAACCAGCGATTTTCTTCCGGATGACGAGGGATCCGGATAAACGAGGACCGGATAAACGAGGACCGGATAAACGAGGACCGGATAAACGAGGACCGGATAAACGAGGTCTGACTGTAGTAGCTTTGTGGTGGGAGTGCTCATTTTAAAAAAGGTGCGCACTCGCACCACACATTTTTGCAACATTGGATGCTACACTGCATTGGTTGCAAAGCTTGGGTATATGAGTGCGCACCTAATACTAATACCCAATACACCTAATGTAGTTCGCCAGCATAAGCTATAAGAGGATTGGAGAAGAACAGAAATGCAATGCTAGCTATACAACACATTACCTATGGTAGATATACATTTTGTCATGGCCAGAGCAACTAAGGAACAGATACGTCATTTCCAATACCACCATCTCATAAAAAAGTCCTAGAGACTGCGGTTGCAAAGATCTCTAATCTTCAACTTTTTGGCCCTTGGGGATGTAATATTAATCAGAATATCACCGAAGTCCAAAGGCCAAAAGTTGGAGATGCAGGTCAGAATTTGCAGTTGATGAGACCGTGGTGGTGGTAGTAGTGGTGATATGGCATGATACATTGGCTGACATAACATTGCCTGAAAGAATCACTGCAGCAAGACAATCAAACTCTCCTGAATAATACCGCGCCATGAAGGGGACTTACAAACACAACGAGGCTGGTCACTCCATTGACCATTGGACACATTGGCCGCAAGACAGGTGAAGGCTGCGACGGTTTGCGGGACATAGCCCTCCTCACAGGTGAGCAGTGCAACGTCGCCTAGCCGTGGGCCGGCGCTGTGTGACACTGATCCGTGCGTAACCGTCAGCCCGTTGCAGTAGTCGGTAATTACTGAGCAAAACAGAAAAAATTATCCGGAAAATCATTTGCAAGCAATGAGCAAACCCGAGTGCCAGTCTACGGCGAGAAATTGACACTTCCAGCTAAAATCACTCCTGGGCTCTTCCATATACTTGTATGACACGTTTTGGAAGCCAAAGATACAATCCCCCTGGAATTCATGCACTAACATACTTAGGATGCTTTGTTCAAAAAAAGCAGAATGCCCGGGGAATTGCAGCAGCGACATAAAGCCAGCCACAGATCAGAAAAGTGAAGTTATATTCATGCCAGTTCTGCCAAAAGAACGCCCAACTACATAAAATAGTGATGAAGCAACTTACGCAGACATTCTGCAGTTTCGTTCCAACGTCCGTGTGCACTGTCATGGCTCAGGCACTTGAACACCAGCGGGTGTGCCGTCACGTAACCGTGACGACAAGCCATCGTCACCGCGGCATCCAGGTGCTGTGATTGGCTGCTGAGCGTACCGGTGGCAATCGACAGCACGGGACAGTACTCGGGTATTTCTGGCAGCAAGGGAAAAGAAATGACAGGGCAGCGGTAACGCTTTAGGCAGATCATGCTCCGAGACAGCCATAACACAAACATATCGTCTTTATTCCCGTAGCTATGCAGAAGACGTTACTTCAGTAACGTCTGGCGCTAGCCAGGGTCCACACAGCTTTAATTTGGTGTTTGTGTGTTTGTTTGTTTGTTTGTTTGTGTCACGGCTGGAGCTATCCCGTATCTGTCCCGTATCTGTCCCGTATCTGTCCCGTATCTGTGACTACAAAGGCTCTACAGGATTGTACATAACAGCTGTCCACAATATTTGCGGGCTCCTGTATCTGTCCCGTACCGTACCAATATTCGTCGTATTATGTATACGACTCCCTGATGTAGAGGGAGATTTGGAAAGAAATAGGGAGACGAGGAGGAAATTAAATTAGAATAGGCGCCGAATAGGTGATAGGATGCGTCAGCATAAACATACATGTACTTTGGAAGAGAGATCCCGTCGTCTCCAAAATAAGCGTGAACGAGCGATTCAGCGCCGGTCACAGGAAACGTCGGAAGAGAGATCCCGTCGACTCCAGAACCCCCGTGATCGGCAGAGTCCGCCGGTCCCAGGCAACGTCAGGACAGACATCCCGTTGAGTCCAGAACGCCCGTGATCGGCAGAGACTAAGCCGGTCCCAGGAAACGTCAGGATAGACATCCCGTCGAGTCCAGAACGCCCGTGATCGGCAGAGTCAGCGCCGGTCCCAGTGAACGTCAGGACAGACATCCCGTCGACGCGCAGAAAAACTAAATCTGCAGCCTCTTTTGCCGTCGGACAGGATACGTATTATAGGAGACTGTAAAGTTATGTAATGTCCAAATTTCCACGTGAGCAGCAGGTCACTCGCGTTGATTTTTCGACGTGCGAGCCAAATAACGCGAGCTGAACTTTCGCGTCGCAGACATCCGGTCGACTCGCAGAAAAACTAAATCTGCAGACTCTTTTGCCGTCGGACAGGATACGTATTTTAGGAGACTGCTAAGTTATGTAATGTGCTCCACAGGCAACCATGCATTCGGCGTCGTCATTGGCTCAACAGGTCAATGTACATGTATTACTACAAAAGGCCAGAAAATCCGATTACTGTATTAAAATCAACTAATTTTCGCTGGCGATTTAATTTATCTGATTTCGCCGCTTGGTACCAACCGGCCAAAGTAAATCGCAGGCCAAAGTTTGTCATATAGGCAAATGATGCATGATTGAGCAATGGATGCATGTGAGAGCAAAAATACCGATCAATTTCAAATTTGACGTGAAATTGCGCGTCACGTCGGAAACGAGAGAGCTTGGAAGCTCAGGGCCCTACGCTATGCTTTTTTGCCTTGATGACCTAGACAAAAAAAAGCATAGGGATGTTATAAATTCTTTAAAAAATTCCTTTTTTTTAAGACATAACCTGGGATTCGAACCCGCACTTTCGCGCGCCCTGCATGCATCCCCCGATACACTTCGCATACATACTAATTCTTCCAAGTTGTTTCACATTGTGATCTTGCATTTGAAAGCCCTATTTGAATATGCATTGTGGCCAGCCGTCTTTGATGGCACGGTACGGTAGGGGATAGGTACGGGACAGGTACGATCGAGGGTAATACGACACCGTCTCCCGTACCATACCGTACCATCAAACACAGCTAGCTGGCCACATACAGCTGCCCGCAATATTCAAATAGGGCTTTCAAACGCAAGATAATAACGTAAAGCAACTTGGAAGAATGGGTATGAATGCGAAGTGTATGGGGGAATGCATGTAGGGCGATAGTGCGGGTTCGAATCCCAGGATATGCCTGGAAAAAAAAGGAGAATTGAAAATTTATAACATCCTATGCTTTTTTGCCGTCAGATGCCGTCAGATACGGATAGCGCCAGGCGTGACACAAACAAACACACAAACAAACACCAAATTAAAGCTGTGTGGACCCTGGCTAGCGCCAGACGTTACTGAAGTAACGTCTTCTGCATAGCTACGGGAATAACGTGCATCTTAACCTCTCTAATAGAGAGGTTTCTATTTCTCATCGGCCAAAATTTGTTGATTTACAGTATAAGGAGATAAAAAGAAAAGAAGGAGCAAACCAAAAGTAGATGATTATTAGAGAAATAACAATCCGCAATAAATTCTGCAAATACTTTTGCCTCAGTTCTTATAACATGTACGATGAGCTAGGCAAAAAAGCATAAAAGCATAGCGTAGGGCCCTGAGCTTCCAAGCTCTCTCGTTTTGGTTTAAGTTCATGTTGATTTGACAGCTGTTGCAATATTTACGAAGTATTCAGGGTTGTTGTGTGGATATTCTTCTGTCAACATGTGCTAGATTGCATACATATTACGATAACAAGTGTAGTGCATTGTACGGTATTTGTGTGTTTTACGTCGCACTTTTACCTGAGTGCTAATCCGGAACGATAAGGTCGGCGTAGCTGGTCTTGTTTTCTTTGCTTTGTTCGAGTTGCTGTTTGCACGAATTTATGTTCACTAGTGATCCAATCTCTCTCTTGTGTTCACTAGTGATCTCTTTCCTACACTCCATGGCGGCTGTAGCTTTTTATTGCAGCTACAGCCGCCATGGAGTGTAGGAAAGAGATCAAGTTATCGGTTGCTCTGCCGGCATTTTGTATGCTTTGCTCGATGTGTTTTTTTCCTGGCCCAAGTGCTGGTGATTTTGGTAATCTTGTTGTTCTTATCTTTCTCTCTTCGCTGCCAGCTCCATGGCGGCTGTCGCTGCAATAGCTGCTTCGGCCACGATGAGCTGGTATCGGTTGCTCTAGTGGCATTTTGTATGCCTTGTTCGACGTGTTTTTCCTGGTCCAAGTGCTGGTGATTTTTGGTCTTCTTGTTGTTCTTTTCTTTCTCTCTTCACTGGAACCTGATAAGCGTGACATACCCCAACCGCATCTCCGATGAGCAGCTATACAAGAGATGCACTGAGGAGCCGATATTCACAACCGTGGAGAATTCCCATTTGTGCATGCTTGGCCATGCTCTACGTCTGCCGGATGATGTGTGGATAGTTCACCATTGGCCAGCGCGGAAGGAGAGGGCGACCTCCAACCGCACCGCAATTGCCGCGCACACGGAGCCGACAGGCATAGTAGGTTCGCGGGTCTCCCTGTCCTCGACAGTTTGTCGGGCAGCCTCGGCGGGGGTCTCAGAGGACTTCGGATTGCATCAACCGGACAAGCAGCTCCGCTTTCTTGCCGGCGGGACTAAGTCCCCGTTCCACGAGGTTGAGGCGTAGGTCCCACACAGTGAGTGTACTGAACGCAGGGGAGGCCATAGTCTCGAATGGAAAACGTTGGAGGTACAGGAAACCGATAATTTGGAAAATTGAAAATTTGGCTCTCCCTACTCTCCCTACTCTCCTTCCCCTCTCCCTACTCTCCCTACTCGAGTACTCCCCCTCCTCTCTCCCCTACTCTCCCTACTCTCCCTCCCATTTCCTCCTCTCCCCACCCTCCCCTTCCGCTTACAAAACACTTTTTTCTCCCGTTTCTCTTACTCTGACAGGTTGCTGACGAGTTCCACACTCCTCTTCCCGGCTTTGATGTCACGCACCACAGCCATACGCCGTCAGCTGCCTGGTAGCCATGGTTGCAGGTTACGTTGGAGACGGCTCCGTGATGCATGCCGACATCATAGGTGACCTGACCATTGGGGACTGTCCCATGGTGGTTGCAGTAGTTGGTATTGACTGTAGGGAGAAAAAGAACACGAAGGAAAAGAGCATCCAGGGTCAAACACTGCGGAATCAGGGGAAAAGATGATATCTTCCTATGCAATGGGAGGTGTGCATTGAAGATGCCCGGCCCGTCACCTTTCAGCAGGGCAAGTTGCCCCATTTTTGACAGGTGCAACCCATTCCAGTACATTTATGAGTACGACCTTACAAACTCGGTTCATGACCATTTTTTGTAGAGCTGGTATCACAGTGTGTACGATTGTAGTGGTATCACCTGACCAGCACAGCTCTTGCAGCACCTACTACTCCTTTGTTGTCTTTGTAGTTTGTCTTTAGAGAGGTTTTGCATTCCGAATTTCGGAATTAAATTATTTTCGGAATGTGGCGGCAGGAGTCGAAAAAGTAGTCGAACTTTCGGAAGTGTGGTGGCGAAAGTGCATGGTTTTCCGAAAATGGATTTTCGGCTCTTTCCTGTTTGGGAGCGCATATTTGAATATTTTTCACGTGTTTATTTTTGTTTTCTGCTGCTCTCGCTGATTATTTGAAAATTGTCCAGGTGTGTAGTTTTGGTTTTTGCTGTTTTTTTGCTGCTCTCGCTGATCTCGCCATGTTGACTAGATCTTCTCACATCTTCCTTTGCCATGGAGCCTACTGACAGTACAAGACAGTAGTTCGCCAACCTCATCTTCAGCCGTTGGATCACTCGGTCCACCATCAGTCCGTACTCGTCTTCGAACCGTACCCAAATTCAGTTTGACCTGCACATGGATTTGATCCTGCTCAGGCAACTCCTATTTTGTGCTCAACCCCTTTGTTCGCGGCAAACGTTCTAGCCTCGTCTGACCCAAAGTTTGCTGGTATCACCAGGAAGTCCGTCAGAGACCACATGCTGCTGCTGTTGGACCAGCACGCCTCAAAACCGAATTTGCAAGAACTGGACGCAAACAGTTTTCGGTTTTGGCGCCTTCGACGCTGTCCATTTTGTTTTGCATGGCAACCCTTGGAAACGAAGTCGAGTAAGATTTTCGGAATGCAAAACACTGAAAATGCCGTTTTTCGGCACGCACTTTTTTCGGAAAAGCACAGTCGAAAAACATTCCGAAATTCGGAATGCAAAACCTTTCTTTTGTCTCTTTCATTACCCCCATTACTTGGTAGGGGTGTGCACATAGTATTTTTTTTAAAAAGTGGACTTGCCCCGCAAAACCGAACGACGGGGGAAATGGATCCATGCGTCCCGTTCAAACGAGGTGGCCAGCACAGTAAAACTCACCGACACATCTAGCGGTCTCGTTCCACTGGCCCAGCGACACGTTCCCAGCCTTGCATGTAAACCTGGTCCCATGCGATGGCAGGTAGCCTTCCTCGCACTTCAGCGTGGCTCCTGTGCTGATCCTCCGGCTGTGGTCATAGCGCATTGCACCATAGTCCATGCTGATCATTGGACAGTAGTCGGCAATTTCTACACAGAAAAAAGGCGAGAAAAGAATGATGGTTAAATCCAGCATTCTGAAGATGAAGCTTGACTCCAGAGACAAACGACGGAGACTAACCAACAATGCAGAAGTCTCACTGTATATTCTCATGCACCCCCACCTCCCCACTCATCCCCTCCTCCCATCACATGCACACACGCACACGCCTACACACAGCCAACGTAGTGCTGTTACAACTGACGGAGCTAGTGAAATCCTCGAC